CAGTGAAAACAAATCACTTCATATTAAAGAGTATAGCATTGGAACCAATTATTTTATTGTAATATTTGGTTTATAATGGAATTTTGGGCATTGAGGAACTTATTTATGACAAAAAGATCAACATTTTATATCTTATATTTTTCTAATGTATGATATGTGAAACAGTCTCTGACATACATTGCAGGTTTATTAATACATATTGTACAATAGTAATTTTTCTGATATCTTCCACATGTCTGTTTTTTTAAAATTTGAACAGACAATGCAGTCTTTGTTCTCTTTCTCTCACATTAATACTATGCAATTTATTATCCAGTCTGTGCACCACTGTAAAAACACTTCACACAATCCCTTTGTACATAAGGCCAGTTGTTTTTTTTCACATATATCTCAATATATATCCAACTCTTTATTTACTTTTTCATGCAATTTTAATGGAAAACTTCAAGGAAACAGCATTTTTTTAAAAATCTGTGTTGGCATAAGTTTGTCTTGTATAATCACCAGCAATCTCTCCATGTACCCTAAGAGGGGACATCTGAGTGTTTTGTTAGATTTACGATGTCCCCTTGGAGGGGACATCCAGGTGCAAAGGGTTATTATATTAAAATTACTTATCTATTCATTATTCCAGATCCCCCAATGACCTCAAGTTATTAGACCTAATCAAATGAAAACACCTTTTTCTGTTTTGTTTTGTTTTGTTTTGAGTTGAAGTCTCACTCTGTCGCCCAGGCTGGAGTGCAGTAGGATGCTCGCGGCTAATCCAGCAACAACCTGCTGGGCACCGGTGATCCTTCTGCCTCAATCTTCCAAGTAGTCGGAACTATAGGCGTGTGCTACCACACCCAGCTAATTTTTTATTTTATTCTAGAGACGAGGTCTCGCCAAGTTGCCCGGGCTGTTCTCTAACCCACACGCTCAGGCAATCCACTAGCTTCAGCCTCCCAAAGTGTTGGAATTACAGGCTTAGACACCTGATCCTGGTCATTGAAAACACTTAAAAGAAAAAAAAACAAAAACTATATTGTTTGCATTTTATTCTCCACTTAACCCCCAAATTAGGACGTTTAACTGTATTAGAAACAGCCATAACGAAACAAAAATGTCCCAACTATTAACTCTTTTAGTTCTGTTAACAGCAATAAGAAGAGGAACTCAAATTTTCGGTTCCTATCTATCATAATACTATAAAAAAAGGAATGACAGTGGTGGGAAACTATGGGGGGGGTAGGAGGGGAAGGGAGGTGGGACTAACGGTAGTCAATATCTGTCTGGGGATGGGGAGACACCCCTTATTAACAAGGGTGCCTGAACGATGCACATTTGTATACTTAATCCTTAACTGTACCCCACAATTTTATAATAAAAAATGTTTTAAAAAAAATTTTTTTAAAAAAACAAATTTTCGGTTCCTATGCAACCATTACAAGTTTTGGATACTACTAAAGAAATTACTAGTTTCATTGCAAGCAAGCTCAATCTTATCTGCAACGGGGAAACTAAAAATGTTAATTACTTAAAATTTAAAAGATATTAAAGGTAAGCTTTGGTCAGTGACCATTCCTAGAATATAATACATATAATTAATAATACTTTATGGGGAATACTCAGTGAAGGAAACACTGATGACTAGAAAAGCTCCAACAAATTTTAACATAATTTCTGCCTGTTAACTCAGCAACATTTCAATGACATTACTGCCAAAAGTGCATAACCTGGATCTAACCATGAAGAAATATCAGACAAACTCACATTGACCACTTATAAAATAATTGGTCTGTACACTTCAAAAATGTCAGTGTGGCCGGGCACAATGGCTCATGCCTATAATCCCAGCACTTTGAGAAGCCAAGGTGGGCAGACTGCTTGAGTCCAGGAGTTCAAGACCAGCCTGGGCAACACAGTTAGATCTCGTCTCTACAAAAAATCAAAAAATTATCCAAGCATGGTGGTACACACCTGTAGTTACAGCTACTCAGGAGGCTGAGGCGAGAAGATCACTTTAGCCCAGGAGGTTGAGGCTGTAGTGAGTTGTGATCATGCCACTGCACTTCAGCCTAGGTGAAAAAGTGAGACCCTGACTCAAAAAAAAACCCAAAAAAATTCACTGCAACCTTGTTTGTAATAGCAAACTATTGGGATTAACACAAAATGCCCATCACTAGGACCAGTTATACATTGTGTGTATAACCATTAAATAATGATTAAGAGATAAGATAATTTTGTGTATATTGATGCAGAGCAGTGGTTTCCAACCTTTTCAGCATCAGGGGCCGGTATCGTGGAAGACAATTTTTCCACAGACAGGAGGAGAGGGATGGTTTCAGGATGATTCAAACGCATTACATTTATTGTACACTTTATTTCTATCATTATTACATTGTAACATATGAGAATCTAATGCCACTGCTGATCTAACAGGTGGCAGAGCCCAGGCAGCAATGTGAACAATGGGGAGCAGCTATAAACACAGATGAAGCTTTGCTTGCTGGCCTGCCGCTCACCTCCTGCTGTGTGGACCAGTTCCTAACAAGCCACGGACTGGTACCACTGGGGACCCTTGATATGGAGAATATTCCAAATTATGTTAAGGAAAAAGATTGGTTGCATATTTATATTAAAATAACATACCTATTTATGTCTGTCAATATACATTCAGATCATCTCTGGAAAGAATACAAGTTACCTCAATTGTCTCCAGGAAAGGAAACTGTATGACTAGGACAAAAGAAGGAATACTGATCTTGTACTATACTCATCTGTATCTTTTAATTTTATACCACATACTTACAGTATCTATTTTTAAGATTAATTTAAAAAACCTATGTAGGCCGGGCTTGCTGGCTCAGCCTGTAATCACAGCACTTCGGGAGGCTGAGGCAAGTGGATTGCCTGAGTCCATGAGTTTGAGACCAGCCTGGGCAACTTGGCGAGACCTCGTCTCCACAATAAATCAAATATTAGCCAGGCGTGGTAGCAGGTGCCTGTAGTTCCGGCTACTTGGAAGGCTGAGGCGGAAGGATCACTGGAACCCAGCAAGTCAACACTGGGGTAGCTGTGAGTGTGCCACTGCACTCCAGCCTGGGTGACAGAGTAAGACTCCAACTCAAAACAAAACAAAATAAAACAAAACTATATATAGTTAAAAGCAAAATTTAAATATGCCTAGAAAAAAAATCTTGTAGAGTATATCAGTTTAATAGTCATTCTATCCACAGAACAGGATTTAGAGGACTTTTACTTTATTTTTCTATATTCTTAAATTTTTCACAATGGGTATATTACCTGTGAGATGAAAAAAAATTTTTAAACCATCTTTGCAATAGGTAAATGTCATTTTTCTTTTAGGCTTAATTAAATGTTTACATTTTTATTCCCTATTAAAGTGTTTATAAGGGACATGAGTTTTTTTCCCATGCTGAAGGAAAGGTTTTTATTATTTTGTAATTTTTTTAAGTGACAAATATTTTGATTCTTTTTCTTGACAACAGTTTTTTTTAACGTCCAGGAAGATTCACTAGATTTTTTTTTTCACTCATCATAAACTTTGTGTTAACTTTTCTTCTTGAAGAGTCTTCTTGTATAATCATATGTTCCCGAGTAATACTGCATATTAAAAGTACTTTCATTGAAAGGGGCTAGGATCTATGTTTTTCTAATTCCTAATATTTTTTGCTCTGGCTTGCATTTTAAAACAAGCATTGATAGGAAGGGAGCAAATATGGAGAGTTAGTGGTCCATAGGAGTACTTTGTTTCTCTAATTTAAGAAAGTTAAAGTAATTATAAACATGGTCTAAAGGAAAACATTTAACTATAACAAAAGTATTTTCTTTTTTTTTCTTTTTTTTTTGAGTTGGAGTCTCACTCCATTGCCCAGACCGGAGTGCAGTGGCACGTTCCCGGCGACCGCAGCCTCAACCTGCTGGCCTCCAGCGATCCTTCTGACTCAGCCTTCCAAGTAGCTGGAACTACAGGCATACGCAACCACGCCCGGCTAATTTTTTTGATTTATTGTAGAGATGAGGTCTCACCAAGTTGCCCAGGCAGGTCTCGAACCCGCGGGCTCAGGCAATTCACTCACCTCAGCCTCCCAAAGCGTGGGATTACATGCTGAGCCACCGAGCCCGGCTTCAAAAGTGTTTTCTTAAGAAACAAATAAAAAGTAAAGTTTGTTTTCTGATGACAGAGTTAAAACTTACTAATCATGATAAATAATAACTATCACATTTCCTGAAATTTTTTTTTTTTTTAACTAAATTCAAAGGACAGGTAGTCTTAATCAGGAAAACGAAAGGTTTCCACACCTTAGTGAGTCCATTGGCCTCAGACTGCAAAATGCTAGCCTACATTTTTTTCGACCAATAAATGTTTATCCCAGGACATCAGTCTGATAAAGGTGTGAAGTAGTAATATACGTTAGGGGGCTTAGAGTAAGGAGCAAAGCTACAATGTCAGAAGGGCAGGTGGCAAGCAATTCTTGTTCTTCTATTTTTTTTTTCTTTCATAGCTCCTTATACTTCAGTTTGGAAGAGGACTGTTGAAAGGGACAAAAAAGCAATACAGAGAGGAAAACATGAAGAAACTTAGAATGCTATAGTCCAGAACAATTTAAAAGGAACAGGATCTGGCAGCAAACTCCTAGTAGGCAATTGCAGATTCAGTGACTGCCATTTTGAGAACTGATTCCCATATCCTTTTTCTTTTCTCATCTTTGTTCTTTTTTACCTTCTGTTACTCTCAACTGTTCCTATCTTCTCCAACTTTGCCTAGTTGTACAAATATCAACAAAATCTGACCTACATCTCAATAGTGTCCACCTCTGCTACATTTTTCTATTATGGAATCTCCTCCTTCCAGGGGAAGGCTTTATATCAATTTCAAAGCAATCTGCAATAGTCAGGATTCTAAAGTGACTGACTCACTGCCAGAAATGGTTGCAAATCCTCTGACCTACTAAAAGAAAGAAAGAACTATAAAAAGGGCTATATTCACTTACCACGAACCTGCTTTTTTATTTCTTTGGCAGAATCCAGCCATGTCTGCAAAAAGAAGAAAAGGCATTCACACAGAGCTCCAAAACATGTAAACAACAGAGTAGGGAAGCAGGATCACTGGTCATTTGCAAATAGTGCCTGCAGCTCAACCTACATTTTCCTTGATAGTCTTTGTATCTTTGCATTGATTTCTCAAAGCATAGTGGTTTTGAGCAGAGAAACAAGGACCCAGACAGTTGGTCTTAAATACTAGTTCCACTACTTCCTGACCAAGCAACTTTAGGTCTCTGTGCCTTTGTCTCCTCAACTACAAAATGAAACATCAGTAGTAGTGCCAACCTCATAGAGTTATTGTGATGATTAAATGAGTTAATATACATAAATACCTTAGTAAATGGCAAATTTAGCATTTGCTATTATATAATTCTGTGAAGACCAGCAGAGATCTACAACCATTATCAACTGATAGTATCCAGATTTTATTTTCTCCTCCAACCCTAACCTTTGGTCTTGTTCAAGTTTTCTATATCAGCACAGCATCTGGTATGTGGTTTGTGCCCAGTTAATGTTTACTACATGAATAAATATTTTGTTTTCCCTGACTACTCTTGCCCACACTAATCTCTTTCTTCATTGTTCTCCCACTCCATTCCACTTACAATCTGCAGACCACTGGAGCAGGGCTCCTCAGCCCACGGTGGGCCATGCAAAACAATGCCACTTGAAAAGAACCTCACCATTAACATCTTTCATAGTCACTGAGAGTGTTTAAAGACAGAAATTTCCAAATTTCTAGAACTGGCTAAAACATTTTGGTCAAGTGCAGTGGCTCACACCTGTCATTGCAGTCGAGGTGGGAGGATCACTTGAGCCCAGGAGCTCAAGGCTGCAGTGAGCTATAATTGTACTACTACACTCCAGCCTGGGTGACTGAGCAGACCCCATCTCAAAATAAATAAATATAACATTTGTATTGAATGTAAGATAAATACACAAAAATACATAAAATGTAAGTAGACAGATCAATAAAGGATGAAAGTGAACATATAAGAATTATAACATTAGCAGCACCTCAGGAGTCCCTCTCTTGCCTCTTCCTAATCCCTCTCCCTCCGTCATCTGAAAGGTTTTTAATTGAATTTCAGTGGGATTTAGAAAGGAGGAGTAAGGAGGCCCCTCTTTACCCTCTGCCAACAGGGCAGAGAACAAGGTGACCATTCCATTTGTCCTACTGAAAAGATGGATGTGAACACTACAATTTTCTATTTGATTATATACTTTTATATAGTTACTATAACAGACAATAAGCACAGAAATGAGATTGGTTCCTTTTATACTCCCCCCACAATTAACACAGAAGATTAAGAAGTATATATTAATAAATACCACTTGTTATTAAAAGGTTCTATACTATAAAAACTAAGCACACACTTGTTTAAGCACTGTCAGCAAGGGGAAACCTCGGGGTTTTCTCCCTAGTCTCTCATTTAGATTAAAGAACCCTAAGTTGCTGTCAGTCCAAAGGCAAAGGAAGATTTTTAAAGCACCCATTGATAAGCTTTGTGAAACCTCGAACTTTGGTTCACATCATGCAATCCAGAACTCTTTCTACCATTCCTTTCTATCACTTTGGAGTACATATCTCCTACCATAGTGAAGAACTCCAGATTTTACATTTAAAAGAATCTCCTAAGGTAACCTGAAGCTGCCAAGTTCCTTCTAGGGATTCCATGAGTCATTCTCTGACTCTGGGACTAGAATTCCCAACAACTTAACAGAGAGAGGGCAAACACATGAGGACTCCAAGGTATACGCTACCTTACAGAATAAATTGTTATTGTTTCAGTTATTTATACCTCCAAAAACAAGAACAAATACAAAACCTTCTGAAGATAATAGAAATCAAAGTGTACAAGAACAGATACTTTCATTCTCAACTTAAATTATTTACCTCCCAGCATTTTATTTAGCTAACAAATATTTGAGGAATGCTTCCACATACTAGGCACTGTGGTTACAAAAAGTATCTAAAAATATCACCTGTCCTCAAGGAGCTGTCATTCTCATAGGAGAGGTAAACAGTGAACAATTCATTTGTTTGTTCTAGGTGTGATCATTACAATGACAGAAATGTGTACTAGTGCTATGATAGATCACAGAGCATTTTGAGAGCACAAAGGATACGCACCAAAATGGATTCAGTTAGGCAGTTAGGAAATGTTTCTCAATAGCATGTCTGGGGGATCTAAATTGAATCTTCAAGGACAAACAAGAGTTAGTCAGGCAAAAGAAAAGGAAGTAATTAGAAATGTACAAAAGTGTAAGAGACAGCACAATACATCTGAGTTGATGCATATAGTTCAGCATAGCTGGAGTATAGAGGTAAGGAAGAGAAAAGTACAACTGAAAAGAACAGTAAGACTACAGAAGGCATAGTATTCCATGCTTAGAAACAGACTGTATCAAGTTCTAAGCAAGCGAGAACCACTGAAGGATTTAAAATAGAGGGGTGACATAAATTAGAGGAAGCATGAATACAGATAGAGAGACCAAATAAGATGCTGTCATTGAGAATGATAATTGTGGTTCAGCAGAGGATAACGGTTAAAGGTACAGGCTTGGCCAGGCTTGGTTGCTCAGTCTGTAATCCTAGCACTTTGGGAGGCCGAGGTGAGTGGATTGCCTGAGTTCGCAGGTTTGAGACCCACCCGGGCAACTTGGTGAGACCACATCTCTACAATACATCAAAAATTAGCCGGGTGTAGTAGCACGTGCCGGTAGTTCCGGCTACTTGGAAGGCTGAGGTGGAAGGATCACTGGAGCCCAGTAGGTCAGGAGCATGCCACTGCACTCTAGTCTGGGCACCAGAGTGAGACTCCAAAAAAAAAAAAAAGGTACAGGTTTTGAAGTCAGACAATCTTGAATTCCAATCCTATCTCAACCTCTCCACCATTTATTTGCTGTGTAACCTTATATAAGATAACCTTTCTGAACCTCAATTTTCTCATATGTAAAACTGGGATTAAACTACCATTCTTATGGAATTATTGTGGGTTAAATTATTTGACATATAGAAAAAGGACATAGCCAGTACTCAATAAATGGTACTGATATTGATGAACAAATGGGCCTGGTGGAGTAAAGTCTATGAGACAGAGAAGAAAGATATTTAGGAGCTAATTAGGATTTGTGACTAAGTAAATGGGATGTGGGGAGGGGTAGGCTGATGATGAGGATTGGTAAGGTATAATAGTAAAGGATCATTCCCAAGTTGCTGGCGTGGGCAAATGAGTGGATGTGGCACTAGTCACTAAAACAGGAAATGTAGAAAAAGGAGCAAATTTTGAAGAAGAAAAAGTAGCAAAAAACTAGAAACAACCCAAATGTACACCAACAGTAAAATGAATAAATCATAGCATATTTAAATAGATATACATTTAAAGTATCTTTGGAAATCAAAGTGGAATATTTCAATAAAAAACTGGATAAGCAGGTCCGCCACTCAGAAAAGCAATTTGAACCAGAGATACAAATTTAGGCACCTTCCCCATATAGTTGGTAAATGAAACCATGAAAATAGATTTTTAAAAACTACCCAGGGAAGCTGGGCTCAGTGGCTCAGCATGTAATCCCGTGCCTTTGGGAGGCTGAGGTGAGTGGACTGCCTGAGCCCGCGGGTTCGAGACCCGCCTGGGCAACTTGGCGAGACTTCATCTTTACAATAAAATCAAAATGAGCCAGGCGTGGTAGCGCGCGCCTGTAGTTCCAGCTACTTGGAAGGCTGAGGCGGAAGGATCACCGGAGCCCAGCAGGTCGAGGCTGCGGTGGCCGGGAGCGGCCACTGCATTCCAGTCTGGGTGAGACTCCAACTAAAAAAATAAAATAAAATAAAATAAAAATAACCCAGGGAGCATAGAGTAGAATGAAAACAAAGACACTAAATATAGACCCTTGGGGAACACTTGCATTTAAAGGATGGAGAGAGAACAAAGAGCTGAGAAGGACTGACTTAAGTGGCAGGAGGAAAACAGGAGAGACTGGTATCACAAACCTAAAGGAACAGGAAGTTTCAAGAATGGAGTGATTGAGATCATCAATGCTGCAAAACAGACAGGTAAACACGAGGGTAAAAGACAGATTTATCTGGGCAAGAGCAGTTTCAGCAGAGTGATAAGGGTATAAATCAAAATGCAATGATTTACATCAAGTGTAGATAAGGAAACTGAAATAATAAGTTGAAACTCTTACCTATTGCTGGTGAGAGTGTAAACTGGTAAAACCACTTTGAAAACTATGATAGTATCTACGAAAGCTGGATATACACCTTCTCTAAAACCCAGTACTTCCACTCCTAGGAATACATCCAACTGAAATGTGTATGGCAAGATGTGCACCAAAAGGCATGTAAAAGAATGTTCCCAGAAAAAGCATTCATAAAAGCCTCAAATTGTAAGCAAATCAATGTCCATCAATAGTAGAATGCATAGGTCTGGCACAGTGACTCATGCCTATAATCCCAGCACCCTGGGAGGCTGAAGCAGGAGGGCTGCTTGAGCCCAGGAATTCAAGACCAGCCCGGGCAACATAGCAAGACCTGTCTCCATAAAAAATTTTAAAAATTAACCAGGTGTCGTGGTGTATCCCTGTAGTCCCAGTTACTCCAGAAGCGGAAGTGGAAGGATCGCCTGAGCTCAGGAGGCTGAGACTGTGGTGAGCTGTGATCGTGCCACTGCACTCCAGCCTGAGACCCCGAGTAAAAAAATAAAAATAAAAAAATAGTAGAATGCATAAAGTGTGGTATAGTCAAACAATGAACTATTATTCAGTAATGAGAATGAACTATTGCTATTGGGAACAGCATGAATGAATCTCAAAAACATGATAAAGAACAAAAGAAGCCAAATCTAAGAGAAAGTATTGTATAATTTTATGTATGTAAATTTTTAAGCAGGCAAAACTAACTGCTGGTGATAGATGTCAGGAAGAAGTTACTTTTGACAGGGGGTGGGGAAGAAAAACAACTGGTAGGGGTTTGGAGTAGTAGT